TTTTATGATCTTAAATTTCTTAGAACTCTTCTCTTTTCCATAAAATATTAGTCTGACACTGGCTTCCTGATTGTGGAAGTTAACGCTGAATTCCCCATTCTTGAGGTGCCTATCACACATCTAGAATATGCAGTTTTTTTCAATCTCTAATTCTGGTGGTCCCTACTTTCACTGCTTAGAATAGGTAGTCCAAGCTACTTACCTTTAGACACTTGCTTCTGACATTCTAACTTCTGAAAAATTAGTAGCATCAAGATTTTGAGCAGTTATCCTTTGTGAATAACTCTTAGGAGCTTTAAGCTGCTTGTGTTCCTTCAGAAAAGTTGCTGCCATTGTCCACCATACCAATTAAGTGAGCAGTTGTCCTTTGTGAATAACTCTTAGGGGCTTTAAGCTGCTTTTGTTCCTTCAGAAAAGTTGCTGTCGATGTCCACCATCCCACTTTAGTGGATTATCTTGTTGCTATTACATTTGGCTGTCATGTTCCAGAAAATAAATATATGCCAAATATTACTATTCTAATGATTTGGTTCATATTTCATACAGGGCCAAGATATATACAAATCTAAACAAGTGAGAGATAAACAAATAGTGCGCATACTTGGGAAGGTTTATTCCCTTATCCCTTCACTCGAACTTATTTTTGATCACCTAAAACAGTTGAAATATTAGCCAAGCTATTGGATGCTGCTTGTTCAACTTATTACGAATTCTGGTAGCAGCAATAGAAGAGTACTCATTGTGTTTTCACTTTACAGGCCCCGACAATCGCTGCAGCAGCTTACTTGAGGATGGCTGGAAGGTCACCTGTTCTTCCATCCAGCAACCTCTCATACACTGAGAACTTCTTGTACATGCTTGATTCATTGTATGTTCTATTTCCTGCTTTGGTTCTTTCTTATTCAATAATAACTGAGTAAACACAGTTTGAGAATGTTTCCTGGTCTAGTTGGAGTGAGTTTCTTTATCTGATTTTTTCTTTACAAGGCAAAGGATAGTGGTGAATCATAGTCACTTTAGGTTAAACACAAACAAGTTCACACCCAGATTAATTAGCTTTCCCACACCAAGTTATTCTACTATAATATGATCCATAGAAATTTGGGCGTTTATTTTTAACTTAGATTTTGGTTATGAAACATACAGGGGTAATAGGTCTTATAAACCCAATCCTCGTCTTGCTCGAGCTCTGGACATTCTCTTCATATTACATGCAGAACATGAAATGAACTGCTCTACTGCAGCAGCACGCCACCTTGCTTCAAGGTATGCATCTTATTGTCTACACTAAAAAAGAGATTGTTTTTTATTAGTTACCTTGTGAGTCTGCCTGTGCAGTGGTGAAAGAGATTGTTTTTTATTAGTTACCTTGTGAGTCTGCCTGTGCAGTGGTGTTGATGTATATACAGCCCTTGCTGGAGCAGTTGGGGCGCTATATGGTCCTCTTCATGGTGGAGCAAATGAGGTAATCAGCTTTTTAGCGCTTATGAAGTTGCTCTTACAAAATTTTATTATGAATTTTCTTTTTCTTTTATGCTTCAGGCTGTGCTTAAGATGTTGAGTGAGATTGGAAGCGTTGACAAGATACCAGAGTTCATTGAAGGTGTAAAGAACAGGTAGGTATCATCGTCTGACTGCAGCTATTCCAAATGCTCCTAATCATGGCCTAACTTCTGCAGTTCACGTGCTTATATTACTCCATATTCTCTAGGAAGCGTAAGATGTCTGGTTTTGGGCACCGTGTATATAAAAATTATGATCCGCGAGCAAAAGTCATCAAGAATCTTGCAGAGGAAGTATTTTCCATTGTTGGCCGGGATCCTCTTATAGAGGTGGGTTTGTGTCTATTCAAAGTGAATTTAAATGAATTATCGATTCAACACTTTTAGATTATATCGAAAAAGTAACTAAGTCTTTAACAAGTGGAAACCTTTCAAAGAAAAAATAGTACCGGACAAGCTTATGTTGTGCCTGATGTTAACATCCCAAAATATCACTATAGAAATCATCTGCGTAAATGAAAATGAACTCGTCAAGGACCCAATTTCCCCTTTCTGAACTAAAATATAGATTAAAAGTCCATATATGGTGAAATTAAGCTTATATATGGTGAAATTAAGCTTACTCCTCTTTTCCTCTCAAGAAAAACATTCCTATGGCTTGATCTGTTTGGATTTTTAAGGTTCAAACAGAAATAACTTGAGTATTTTAAAGTTATATCCTGTCAGTAACTGCTTTGTGTGCTAGAAAACTGAAGCATCCTGCCCCTGGCTCCTAATAACTTTTCAATGGACACATCAAGGACAAAAGGATGATCGTTCTCAAATACTAGAATGAAAAAACATGTGATGAATGAAGAAGATAGGGATATTTACTTAGGAGCCTGGTGGAGGATGTAGACTGGTAATTGGAACACAAGGGCTTCTTTACTTGTTGCTCCTCGTCATTTCTGAAATGTACATAAGGGTAATGATCCTGTCAGCCCTTGGCACTGTGGTTGAACCAGACTCTATTTCCAATACAAGATAAACATTACAATTTAAACAAAGTAAACCTTGAGTCTTGATGGCTGTGGTTTCCTTGGCAGGTATTTTGAGTCTTAAACTCAAGACGACAAATCTACATATGACCATGCCTGATTCATGTCATTTGCAGGTGGCCATAGCTTTGGAGAAAGCTGCTTTATCAGATGAGTATTTTGTGAAGAGGAAGTTGTATCCGAATGTTGATTTCTATTCTGGTTTAATCTATAGGTATGCACAGAATGTTCACTGCATATGCTCCATTTTTTGGAAAAATTGTTACGTAAATTCTTTTAAAACATTGACATCGTCGTTACAACAATTCAGGGCAATGGGTTTTCCCCCAGAATTCTTCACTATTCTATTTGCAATTCCTCGAATGGCTGGATATTTATCTCACTGGCGCGAATCTTTAGATGATCCTGATACAAAGATAATGAGACCGGCGCAGGTCAGTTTTTTCCCCCTTCAATCTATCATTTGGCTAAAGAACCGAGAATGTCACTGCATCTTACTCTTAGTTTTGCATTCCAGGTGTATACTGGCGTTTGGCTACGGCATTATATGCCACTACAAGAACGAATGCGCTCGGCAGAAACAGATAAACTCAGTCAAGTGTCGGTCTCCAATGCTACTAAGAGGCGGCTGGCGGGATCTGGGATCTAGACTCTGTTATGATCGATACATACATCAGAATGCCTAGGTAAATTCATAAATTTCTGAAAATAAGTAATAATCATTCCAGACTCTGGACATTCTTGCCATCTTAAACTGATTAATGTAACTATGTAAGACTGCATAGAGCACATAGTATGTAACAATAATCAGTGTGTCGATGATCCCTTATTTTACAGTAATAAACAATCCTTTGGAATTTCTTGTTTCTTGACATTGAAAAGATGAACACTGTTTATTTTCTAGATACCGTCATTGTTTTTCCTTTTTTTTTTTTCTTCGAGAAATTTTTTTTTTTCTTCGAGAAAATAAGTTTACGACCTGTGGAGCCATGTATTATGTTATGAAACTATATTCATCGAATTATGAATTTTAGATAACATGAAGCAAAAAGAGAGTGAAAAATCAGTTACAAAAGAAAAATAAAAATAAAGGGTAATCAGAAATTTTGTGACCAAATATGGAGCTGCGACTTGGCAATTGATCCATGGCACATCGATCCACCTGTCCGGACAAGCATTAAATTTGGGTCAAACATTTTAATTTCACAAATTGTCATGAAGTTCATATGAAATTTTAAATTGGTTATTAAAATATTTTTTGGCTACATTTGGGCAATTTTAAGCCCCCGTTTGTCCCTCATTAAATTAATTTTTCTCTTTTATATTCAATTTCACAATCTTCCATAAAATTAATATTACACGTAAATTGAAAAAATTTCTTTATTTTTCAAAAAGATACTATTCTACCAATTTTATTTTGAAAAAATTGAGATCCAACGGGGCTTAATAATATTGTATAATTAGTCTTTCCTTATGGTGTCATGCACTCCAAATCCGACATCGACGCATTATACATTGACACCGAAATATGATTATCAACCTCATGTTCTACCAAAAACTTTCAAACCGCTTCTTTTAGCACTAACTTTGTTTTTTATCGTTAAAATAAAATAAAAAAGGTCCTAACATAGCTAAACAAGAAGTCAATTAGAAGGAATAGATCTCGTTAACGTTCATTAGTCACGTGAGGTTCCAACCGCAACCATGCTAGTTATGACCTTAATCAAACCAACTACATAATATTATTTAACTTTAGTGATTAAATGGGTCACACAAAAACGTTAAGGACTAATTTGAAAGATTTCTGGAACTTCATTAACCATTAGTGTAATTAACTGTTTTGTTAATAAATAACTAATTAAATTATCGGAAGAGACAGCACAGCCAAGCGAGTCTTCCCCGATCCTTCTCTAAACCTCTTCCTCCAGCGTCGCTTCCGGATCCGCTCCTGCGATTCTCCGTCCGATCTGTACACAGACCACGGTACCCCTCTCTCTCTCTCTCTGAATGTCTCTGTGTCTCTATCTGCATGTATACGTATATATACGTGTATCTGTGCAGATTTGTAGTGGTAGGTGGAAATTACTGATTATGAGGGCGTATTTGGGGATTTCTTTTCCTAAAATTTGAAAGCCTTAATTAAGTAATTCGTGATGTTATTTTTGTCTATATTTTAGATTGATAGCCGTTAATCAATGATTTTTACCATGTATTTGATCTTTATATGTTTGCGATCTCATTGTCTTTGTTATTATTATTTTTTCCTTAATGTGATGCTTTTAAGTACTTCGGGGGTTTTTATTAGTCGGATTTTGTTAATATCTTGGAGTTTCGAATATTTTGCTGGATCTATGAGTTACATACACTTGCACTAGGTTAGAAATACAGATAAATATTATTGGCTGTAAAAAAATCATTCTCTGATCGTGGAATATGAAAATAGATTATTAGCTTGTTCAAAAGGAATTTCTATCCGTAGAAGAGGAACCCCAGTCTGAATCCTAGATGCAGAGAATCGTTTACAGTCCCTGGAATTTTAGTTTGTCGATAAATTTGCAATTTCCGTATAAATTTTTTAAATTTTAGTTCTGTTAGTAGTCAAGTAGCCAAGCAGATAAAAATTAGTAGGTCAGTTTGTACTCTATTAGGAGATCACTTCATTACACCATATCCTACAATTCTATTCAAGGTTCTTGGGGTTCTTTGTTTCTCCATAGTAAAATTCTGACACCAAATTTGTCTTTAGTTTTTGTTAGATATTTGGATTAGGAGCCCCCAATACAACATTCCATGTATTTTCTGATTTGTAACCTAATATTTTTTTTTTCTTTTTTTCTTGTGCAAAAGAACAAGGTGGATTGGTTAGACTCATCAAAGCATCCTATTGTTAGGCTGGTTGTATGCTATGTCTGTGCCACTTGATGTTGAATGGTTTGTGTGATATTCCTGGTATCTTTACATTGTATTGCTTCAGGTATAAAGGAAGACGAAGCCCCATAAAAGAGAGATCCAAAAACAGGTTACTCTCTTTAATCTTGATAACCATACAGCACCTGTGAACGTTCTTCTTAGATTTAATTGTTGAGAAGCATACAATTCAGCGTAAATGTCCACATGCTTCTGATGTCATATTGAAAATTGTGGGATTGGACTATGTTCTTTGGCCATTAAGACAAGATTTTTTTCCTTTTCAGCTACAAATTTCAACGAAATGTCTGGACAGACCCAGCGCTTGAATGTTGTTCCTACTGTTACAGTGCTTGGAGTTGTGAAGGCTCGGCTTGTCGGGGCTACAAGAGGCCACGCTTTGCTCAAGAAGAAAAGTGATGCTTTGACTGTTCAGTTCCGGCAGATTCTCAAGAAGATTGTCTCAACTAAGGAATCAATGGGCGAAATCATGAAATCTTCGTCATTTGCCTTGACAGAAGCAAAATATGTTGCTGGTGAGAACATCAAGCACATCGTCCTTGAAAATGTATCGAGTGCAACCCTTAAAGTCCGATCCCGCACTGAAAATGTTGCTGGTGTAAAACTACCGAAATTTGATTACTTCATTGATGGAGAGACGAAGAATGACTTGACTGGATTAGCAAGAGGTGGCCAACAGATACAGGCTTGCCGTGGAGCCTATGTGAAATCCATTGAATTGCTTGTTGAGCTTGCTACGCTGCAGACTTCATTTTTAACCCTTGACGATGCAATAAAGACCACAAATCGTAGGGTCAACGCCTTGGAGAACGTTGTGAAGCCTCGGCTGGAGAATACAATTAGTTACATCAAGGGAGAGCTAGATGAATTGGAAAGAGAGGATTTCTTCAGGCTGAAGAAGATACAAGGTTACAAGAGGAGAGCGCTCGAGAGACAACGTTTGTCTGCCAAGGCATTTGCAGAGGAGAAGATGGCCGAGGAAATTTCTTTGACGAAGGGTGTACCTATTGGTTCAGCACATAACATGTTATCCCAGGCTGCACAGAAGGATGAAGACATAATATTTTGAAATGGACGTAAGTTTACCGTACCCCAATAATATGTTGTGTGGCTTTGATCTGTTTCTTGATTTCTGTAGAAGGAAATGAATTTATTACTAGATGGACCTGTCCCAACGAGATTTTCGTGTTTCGAATAAGAGCTTTACAATCATTTGTATTTATTTTATCTATTATTGAACAGAACCCTTATCCAACTGTTGCGAGGATATCATTTGGCTGAAGAAACGTTTAAAGTGTCTAGTGTTATTGAGCCAACTTTTACTTCCATTGAATTTTATGTCGATGTGTAAGAGAGATCTTGAACCTATTGAGCATGTAATGAAAGGATAAAACCCTCCAGTGATTATATAAAAACCTTACTCATTGTACATTGTATCACAAGAGTAAATTTTGCTAGCAAATAAGCTACTAAAACAATGAAATGCTCGAAAAGTGTGCAACCAAGAGTTGTTCTTCAGGCGCATCCGGGATAACGGAGTTGAGAAACAACTGAATCCCCTATACGTCGTAGTATGACGTCATTATGAAGCATGGAAGAGGTGCTATGAATCATTCGCCTGGTCGACACATCCAAAATTCTCTCGCTCAGGAAGATCAGCACTTAAGGGGGAGAAGGAATGGAGAAACTCGACTGGTTGGAGAGGACCACCTACCACTAGTCTTCGGCCAGAGGGGTTTATTGCACAAAAACGCCGGGCAAGAAATTAAGAACATAAATACAGTAGCCCAAACAAGATGTCCAAATAAGTTATAAATTAGAGTTGATTAAAAACCATAGTCTAATGAGTTGCTTCTGTTCTCCTTGACATGCAATACTGGATGATAATTAGCGTGTCAATTCGTCTGCTACCAATGGAGGGACGGCAGAGGAAACCTGAAGTGTGTGTTCGAAGATATGGCCTACTTTAAGCAACTTCTCCTGCAATAAAACTATACTTTTTGAGTCTTCACTTCTGCAGCGACGCATTACAGAACAATGCAAACCAGTCATAAATAAGCAAGGCATTTCCTTCTTTTAATGTTAAAAAACAAATGCTTATTGTAGAAAACAATCTCAGGGGCTGATATGGATTGACCCTATTTGTTAAAAATCTCGAATAAAGACAAACTTAACATGATAGATGAACCATTCGCATACACTGACACATACATGGAGGGAGGGGGAGAGTTCTATATCTAATAATACTCTGAGCGAAAAGAAGGGGCTACGGATGAACAGAAAAAATGTCGTTATTTTCATGAAAAAGGAATATACACCCACCTCATCAAATGCTGCTCCAATCATTTGAAAACCAACAGGCAGGACAGTGGATCCCCCTTCAACAAAACCACATGGTAAAACCAGAGCAGGCAGCCCGGCCAAGTTCACATTGACCTGCATTAAGGATGAAGTTATCATAAAAAATGGATATCAGCTCCTGTGGTCTCCCCTTGCACAGGTTCTTAATCGTTATGGAAGCCCAAATTGGCTTTGATTCCATGGACCAATATTTTGACTGTCATGATTTCTTGGATTGGCAAGGAATTAGGATTTCGATAAGTCTCCATACACTTTCACATGGGAAGGATGTCCGGGTGGCATAAGTGGTTACAATTGCTTTCATCATCCATTAAAAATAATAACAATAATAATAAATAAATAAATAAAAACCCAAAAGAGCTTAGAGCAACGCACAGTCATTTTATCTCCAGCATACATGGCTAATGGATCATCTTTCTTCTCACCTGGACATATTAACCAAGTTACTAAGGATAATTAGCCCTGAATAACAAAATAAATAAACAACAATGGTAAGGAGATATGTGTTGAACAATACGCTAACAGAAAAAGGGATATACGTGTTGAACACTAAGCTAAAGCCCCCTTGTTTGGCCCCCCATTCTCTTTCAATTTTTTTCCTCTCTTATTTTCAACCACTCAATCTTCTATAAAACAATATTACACGTAAATCGAAAACTTTTCATTCCTTTTCAACTACACATTCCTTAAAAAAAAACACTATTCCAAACATTTAAATTTAAAAAAAAAAAAAATGGGGGCCAAACGGGGGCGTAGTATGTAAAAGGCATACCAATCTTATAAGCAACAGATGGAGATGCAGGTGATATCAGAATATCATTTCTCTCCAAGGCTGCCTTGAAGCTATCTCGAATTATGGTCCGCACCTAAAACACTAACATGATCACAGATTTCCTTGTATGGGGCTAAAAATTGTAAATAAGAGCACATAACCTTACAAACGTCAAAAACATTATAAAGAATATTTATTACCAAATTACTTCCAGTCCCAATTGTTGATCAAACAATCACATTATGTTGCCTTTCATTATCCATGTCATCTTAACCCTGCTGCTACTTCATTAAAATTAAAAGAGAGAGTATTATTGTACCTGCTGTGCACGCTTGTAATACGCATCATAATAACCAGCAGAAAGAGCATATGTACCCATTAGAATTCTCATTTTCACCTATAATGTTGTAAACGAACATCACTGGTATGTCACAAATTGCAGAAATTTTCCTTGAGCCAGAGACACAAGTTGAACAATATTATCGTAAAGGACTTTTCACAATTGTTGAACTTATTATCAAATCCAAAATAGAACAGAAGAACTTTTTGAACAAGACAAATTTAGATGATTCATACCTCAGAGCCAAAACCTTGGGCACGGGAATGGCCATAAAGTGAATTAAGTTCGTCTTCCAATACCTGGTTTCCATATCTACAAAAAGAAATAAAAATAAAAAATGGA